ATGTTGACCAGGATGGTCTCGATCTCTTGACCTCGTGATCCACCCGCCTCGGCCTCCCAAAGTGCTGGGATTACAGGCGTGAGCCCCCGCGCCCGGCAGGAATAAGTCTTTTTGTCACTGGATATACTATATGAGGAGGTGATTCCTGAAGCTGTGGCCCTGAGGGGACAAGCCTGAAGACAAAAGCCAAAATGCTGAGTGAGCCGATGGACAAGTAGAAGAACCTGGGTTCCTGATGACATGTCCACCTGGTCATACCAGAGCCACAGTTATTGCTTTTCATCTCAAATTCCCCCAGACCCGCTTTCATTAACTCTTTAGGTAAAGTTTCCATTTTGTTTTGTTTTTGTTTGTCTTTATTGTTATTTATTTATGTATTTATTTTTTGAAATGGATTCTCACTCTGTCACCCAGGCTGGAGTCCAGTGCACAATCTTGGCTCACTGCAACCTCTGCCTCCTGGGTTCAAGCAATTCTCATGTCTCAGCCCTCTGAGTAGCTGGGATTACAGGTGTGTGCCACAACGCCCAGCTAATTTTTAAAATTTTTAATACAGACGGGGTTTTACCATGTTGGCCAGGCTGGTCTTAAACTCCTAACCTCAAGTGATCTGCCCACTTCGGCCTCCCAAAGTGCTGGGATTACAGGCATAAGCCACCGCACCCTGCCTGAATCTCACTATGTTGCCCAGCCTGGTCTTGAATTCCTGGGCTCCAGTGACGCTCCGCCTTGGCCTTCCAAAGTGCTGGGATTACAGGCATGAGCCACCACACCCAGGTCTTTAGGTAAAGTTTAAATAAAAAAAAATGTTATCCCAGTTTTGCGTTAGGCACAAGAAGGAACAGAAAAAAACAAAACAATAAATGACTTGCAACCTACATAACTTTTACATCCTATGAAAAACCCAGTTCTCCCCTCCTCTTCGGGTCTCCAACACTCAAACTGAGGAGGGATGAACAATGCTTGGGCCCAAGCAGGACAAAAACACCACTCATTAAAATTGAAAAACAAAAATGTAGGCCGGGCGCGGTGGCTCAAGCCTGTAATCCCAGCACTTTGGGAGGCCGAGGCGGGTGGATCACAAGGTCAAGAGATTGAGACCATCCTGGTCAACATGGTGAAACCCCGTCTCTACTAAAAA